AACGCAAAGGAGTAGAATGAGGCATACCGGCAGGTTTTGTGCTATGGTGCTGTGCTCTCTATAAGCATGCGCCTATCTAGCCTATAATAATATATAAATATGTTGACAAATGCGACTTGCCCAAAGCTAGCGACGGGCACAAAAACGAACGAATTAGCCATGAACAGATCGCACAAACACAACGCGCGCGGACAGCCACCAAACCGTCCAATCGGAGCTATCTTCGCCGAGGTCCCTTCCACTCCATTCAACCCAACCCAAGCCACCGAGCCCAGTCACAACTCATAGAGCAGGTTGAAAAGGAGGCAGAATCACCGACGTCAAACTATGTCATCTCCCAGCCGCGAAGTAGGAACTCGCTCAGTGTAGTCATCATGGCGAAGAGGCAAACGCGTAACGCGGTCAACGAGGACTGTCTCGCCGACATCGAGGAAAACCTGTTTGTGAAGAGAGTTACTGCACGGATCACATCAGGTTTCGCACCAACTCGCGTTCTTACACTGGCGGAAAGAATTGTCCACATGTTTTGCACTTTTATGAATTTAGGCCGATTAAGGGCATATGTACATTAAGCCTTAATTGAAGGCCTTATCCATTGTATGCAGACCAATATAAGAACACAAGACAATGCTTTACATTTGATGAAACAACTATAGTTAACAGATAAAAGCAGACATAAGCAATCACGGTACATCCGGACAATTAGTGCTAGGCGCAGGCAGCAACTTTAACTACTGTAAAACTAGTACCTGGTCCACCGCCCTTTCGTCTTAATCACCGTCTTCATCCTCCTTGGCATGGTGTCGATCAAGTTGGTGCACACCTCTGATGGGATCATCTCCCATTCCTCCTGTACACACTCCCACAGGTCCACCATACCAGTGGGAGGCATCTCGTGCTTACCCAGCTCCTTCTTGAGATGAGCCCAGAGATGCTCAATGGGGTTGAGATCGGGACTTGAAGATGGCCACTCCAACACCCCAAACTCCTGCTCTTGAAGCCACTACTGTACCAGACGGGACTTGTGCTTGGGGTCGTTATCATGCTGGAAGATCACATCCGAGGGGGAAAGCTCGTAAAAGTCGATGGTATTCTTCTGCTCGTCCTGCAAAATGTTCAGATACAGTGGCCCGTCCATCCTACCATCGATTTTGCACATGAAATCCGCCCCCTCATACGTCATGCAGCCCCAAATAATCAAGCACCCGCCCCCATGTTTCACGGTCTGCTTGATCTGGTGGTGTTGGAGGGCCGTACCTTCACGAACCCAGGCGTACGCGCGGCCGTCAGAGTAGAATCTATTGATCTTGGTCTCATCCGACCAGATCACACGTTTCCAATCCTCGATGGTCCAATCAGCATGGGCCCGTGCGAAGTCGAGCCTATCACGGATGTTTTTCTTAGAGAGGCGCGGCTTCTTAGGCTGTTGGATTGCAACAAGGCCGCTAGATTTGAGTGCGTTACGCACCGTCCTAGGATGTACCGTAATGCCATGCTGCGATTCGACGATCTGTGCCGCGTGCTTCGAGGTTTTCACCTTGCCGCTAGTAATTGCCCTAACGATCCCACGACGAATTCTATCCGTGACTATGCGTGGACGACCAGCCGTGGGCATTGAAGGTCGCACAAATAGCCGCGACTCGCCAATTAAGGCTTAATGTACACATGCCCTCTAACGGCCGAAATTCTGAAAAATGCAAAACATGTGGACAATTCTTTCCGCCAGTGTACATGCATGTTGTACTTTCCTCGAGATTTCCTTGTGACCGCAGACGATGTTGCAAAATGCGGCGACACGATCGCGCCTGATTACAGCCGTGTCGTCCACGCCAGGTGGCGGTGGAATCGTGCGGCTCTCCAGCCCCGCCGCTGTGAGTATCGCACGATGCATGTTCCCCCTGCGTTGAAAGCGGGCAGAGTGCGGAAGGGCGGGGAAATGGCGGAAAATGAGCTGAACAAAGGCGATTGGGAAAGGGGAAGCAAAGAAAATGGCGAATGGGCGGGGGGGGTTGGGAATAGAGCAGCAATACCGTATTCCCCCTGATACATGCCACTTGAATTAATTTCATATGGCTCAGTGCGAAATAAAGGGATTTATGGAAATTTCATAAACTAGCATGAAAATCTAGCTTGTACAATTTCCTTTCGTGTGGATGTGCTCCCAAATGGGAACGCCCCAAACAGCCCCTCGAAAACCGCTCGAGAGCAGATTGGCATGCGAGCTAGGCAGGATTGCTGCACTTTGCTAGCGAGCAAGGGTCGATCACGGCCATCCATTCCTCTCTCATCATCACACAACAGCAGGGTAATGCTGACGGGATTTTGCGTGGTGAGGTGGCGCAGAAGGATTTCGTGTAAAGAAACGATTGGGTTGGAGAATCTCAACTGAAATCAAGGAAAACGTGGTCAACCCCAGTCAATGCAAGGAAAATAGGGGGATGCGTGTAGGGATTAGATCCTGGTCAAAAAGGGGGTGCGTATAATTGGCACATCCATTATGGCACCCCTCCGGATATATGCACCATGGTGAGATTTAGCCGGCGGTGCGTGTATGCGGGGGAATACGGTAGATGGCGCAGATTACAGAGGCAGGGGAAATGGGGGAGGTGAAGGGGGTGAGGTGGGCGACAGGGCTGATTTTATCAGACTATTTACTTTGATTAATCTGAAATTTTATACCCTTTTTTTTGCCAAACCTGAATTTCCTGATAACCCATTTTCCCAATCCTGATCGCTTCAGAGTACGACTCTGGGGATCCCGAGAAAATCAGACTTGTCACTAACCCAGTACTGAGTTTCTAGAGCATAGCGCGTACAGACCTTGAAACAGGTGTATCGTACCACTAACCTCCAGTTTTTTCGAACAAGTCCCCGAACGCTAGAGACAACCCCCACACACTCACCCCATCGGAATTTTTGGCCAAGTCCAGGAACGCTAGAGACATCCCCCACACACCCCACAACCCATTGAATTTTTCGATTAAGTACTGTCGTCAGACGCAGTCCCCCCCAACACCCCGAACAACCCAGATTTTTTGGCCAAGTCATAATTTACTGATATCCTCCCTCTCACATCCCCCACAACCCTTAAGTCATCTTGTACAAATATATCTCTCCCCCACCCCCCCCCCCCCCCCCCCCCTCCCAACACACCCGACGACCGCTAAGTCTTCAACTGTAGAAATATTTCTTCCCACCCACTGCAACTCGAGCCCAGCTGAAATTTCCAAAACCAGTTTCTATATCCAGGTCGCCTTCACCCGCCTATGTTTGGTTGAGTGCTGCCAAATTTCCCTCAGATCAGCCACTTGCACATGATTTCTAGGGGCGCGATACGTCAGTGAGACAAGATTTGAAGGATGGTGACACTCGCACTTGCCTATGCGAGAATATCGAGAGGCATCATCCAATCAAAGCAGGGTGCTGCGCGGACCCAAAAATATGTAATTTTTTAAAAGTGTGTAACACTTTCTAAAAATGTGTATTGTGAGAGTGTAGCGAGGGCCAACGCAGCAAAGGCAGCGACGAAGCGCTACTCACCCTCTTTTGCCTACAAAAGAGGGACGTGAGGCCATTCGGCCTCACCCACGTTCTTCATTTCTAGTTTCTCTAGTTCAATTTCCGCAGTTTCTCGTCCAACCTGGAGAAGACCCAGTCCCTCCCCCGAGGCAAGGCTCCGACGACGCTCCTCACCGACATTTTGCAGCACAACCTCGCTAACATGGCGTCGACGAACACGACTCCGAATAGTCCGACGAACAACCCCAACAATTCCGTGGAGCCCGGAACTTCGGCCGGGGCAACCACCCGTCGCCAGAAACGTCCTGCTGAGGAAATTTTTGGCGAGGGGCCCTCGGCTGTCGAGGTCCTGCTTGGCGCCAATCGCGCTGCTCCAGAAGCAGCCGCGCGAGCTGCCAACGGAGGACCACGCGCCTACGCACGTCGCGACGGCTGCAGGCCACGCGGGCCCCACCGAGCACACGCCCTTTGACAAGGTCGTGCCAGCCGCCGCCGCCCCCGCGTTGACTGCACAACAACTCCAGGCGCTTTTGGCGCTGTTACACCAGCAGCCGAATGTTACGCTCGGAACATCTTCGGACAATATAACTGCTACGACCAATTTCGCCAAGAAGAAAGAAATGCCGCCACCTACTCGCGCGCCAAAAGCTCCGCGCGTCGACAACCAGCCCCCGGCACCGACTCCCGCACTCGCCAATGACACCGACGACAGAGACGACTCTGAAAACGATGATGGTGAGGCTCCTGTCAATATTGCTCGCCATCGCATTCTCGCCCCCGCGCCCCCTCTTCCCCCCCTTGGTCCCACGCTCGCAGCAACTACCTTCATGCGTAAGGGCGTGCGCGACCAGGCCGAAGTCTTCACTGCTATCCAAGCACACCTGCAGCACATCGACTTCGAGCTGCAGCACGGCAACGTCACCGGCGCACTCAACATAGTGAAACACATTGAGACGCTTATTAATAAGCGTTTCGAGGTGCTTCTTGTGGCGGATGAGGCCGGCTTTGAGGCCGCTGATCGCTTCCAGCTCTACCAGTCCAAGAGTGTGCTGACGTCCCGTTCCTACAAGCTGGCAGTCGCCGATGTGGCTGCACTCAAGCGTGCACGCGCCATCTACCCCTGTGGTGGTCGTCCCGGCGGTCGTGATGGAGAAATGGACCTCAAAGGCTCCCCCCCTCTCACGTGCCAGCAGCCACGCTTCAAGGGCGTGTGCTTCTGCTGTGGCCAGCCAGGTCACATGGCTAACGCGTGCCCCATGGGCGGGCGTGGAGCACAAGGCCCCTCACCGGTGGTGTGAGCGGGGGTAAGGGCGGTGCCCTTCGCCAATATGCAAGAAGCATATTGGGCTGCACTGGGGGTGCATGCCTGGTGGCCGGCCTTAGGACAAGGCAAATGGCCTAGTAGACTAGGGTAGCCCTAGGGGCAGAGAAGGCCGTGGGCCTAGAACCTTGCCTTATTCCATGTATGGATCATGCATGCCGTTATGGCGCATTGAAACTAAGATTGCAAAAAAAAAAAAAAAAAAAAAAAAAAAAACTTTTGCAAGGCCTCGATGAAAGAGAGAAAGAGAGGAGGCAAGACAAACAGAGAGAGAGCAAGCAAGAGATAGAGAGAGAGAGAGAGAGAGAGAGAGAGAGAGAGAGAGAGAGAGAGAGAGAGAGAGAGCATAAGATAAAGAGAGAGAAAGACCATAAGAGAAAGAGAGAGAGAGAGAGCAAGAGAGAGAGAGATATAGAGAGAGAGAGAGAGAGAGAGAGAGAGAGAGAGAGAGAGAGAGAGAGAGAGAGAGAGAGAGAGAGAGAGAGGTGACGAAGGCTCGAGCGCTAAAGGGAGAAGGCATGAATATCAGCCATGCCCTTTTTGCAATTGAACATGAGCCACTCTTGCTTTGCCAACTGAATGGGAGCTATGCCCCTCCTGGAATCGACTATGACACATCCACCCTTTAGGCAATTGTCTGGTCTCACTCACTTGGGTACCTATGTGATTCTTGCCACCCGACCCTTTGGTCCAGCAGAAATTGGGAAAGGATGGTTACACAACGAACATGACCCCTACGAGTACGCGGTTACAGACAAGGACGTAACTGTCATGCATAGTCGATTGCGCCACGCCCTACACTTGTGGTGCTCATGGTGCGATAGCAGTTTCATCCTGTCCATCATCGCGAAAGGATATTGGCTTCCCTGGAAGGAAGCCGTGCCACATGCCTTTGAGGATAGCAATCATGCTGGAGTTCACACACACCTGGACTTCACTCGTGAAGCGATTCGCGACCTCGTCACCTCGGGTGCCGCCGTCAAGGCCCCTACGAAGGACGCGCTCATGTGTGTTGGTCCACTTAACGTGGTGGAGCAGCGCGACAAGTGTCGCCTCATTCTTGACTTGCGCAAAGTCAACAACTACCTCAACATCCCCAGGTTCAAGTACGAAGGCTTGAACAGGGTAGCCGAACTCATCCGCCCAGGCGATTGGATGTTCTCCATCGACCTAAAGTCAGGCTACCACCATGTCGAGATCCACCCCTCCTGCTAGAAGTTCTTGGGATTCCAGTTCGAAGAAGACTACTATTCCTTCATATCGCTCCCGTTCGGGCTTGCCACTGCCCCATTCGTCTTCACACAACTGATCAAACAACTGGCAAAGCGATGGCGGGCAAGCGGCGTGTGGGTTGTTCCATATGTCGACGACTTACTATTCCTCTGCAACTCCCACTCGGATGCACGCTCGACCTGCGCAGCTGTTGTTAAGGACCTAAAGGCAGCACGTTTTGTTATAAACGGCAAAAAGTCACATCTACACCCCTCGTGCTAGATAGCTTTCCTCGGCCTGGAGATTGATGCCGCCCAAGGCACCTTCTCCGTCGGACTCGAACGTCGAGCACAACTTTTTGCTTCACTCCAAGCCCTCATCACCCAGGGACAAGAGGGATGACCGGTTCCCATCCGGTCCCTTGCGAGAATCACAGGAATGCTGGCCTCCATGAATCTGGCATTGGGTGCTACGGCACGTGCCTTTAGTCACGAGCTCCTTCGACTTATTGCAGACGCCACCTCTTGGCACGCCAAGGCACACTTGTCGTCGACAGCAGTGCACAAGCTGCATTTTTGGCTTGCGCAGTTTGACAAGTTCAACGGAAACCCATTCCATCTCAGTCACCAGTTCGATGCCGTCATCCACGTCGATGCAAGCGCACACAGCTGGGGCGCCACCCTGACACAACTTCCTGGGATGCCCATTGAAGCCAGTGCTCGCATGCCCGAGGAACTACTGCCCACCTCCAGCACTCGACGGGAACTCGAAGGAGTTTTATGGGCTCTCCGAACTTTCGCTGCCCGCATACCCAAGCGCCACGTACTCGTTTGGGTAGACAATCAAGGCGTGGTATTCATCCTACGCAAAGGTGGATCGCGCCACCCCACGCTTACGCTACTGTGTCAAGCAATCATTCGCCTCTGCCTGGAACACCAAACAAGGCTAGCTGTCGAATGGATCCCACGAGAGCTGAATGCGCACGCCGACGAACTTTCAAAAATCCAAGACCACGATGACTACTCCCTCAAAGCCCCGTGGTTCCGGCTCTTGGATCGCCGCCTGGGTCCCCACTCTATCGATCTCTTCGCAAATGTGCACAACGCTCAGCTGGAGAGGTTTTGTTCCAAGATTCCACACCCTACGGCCGCAGTGTTTGACGCATTTTCGTTCAGCTGGCAGCACGAGCGCGGCTTTGCATTTCCCCCTCCCAACCTCATTCTAGTCACATTACGACAAGCTAAACGCACACACGCTGAGGTGACCTTGGTCATTCCCGAGTGGCCGGGAGCATCATGGTGGCCACTCCTCCAATAGGCACCTGACGCCTGGGTGCCAGAAGTAACGGCACACATTCCCCTCACCCACGGCAGCCAATGCCTACGCCCCGGCACACACGCACTCGCTTTTGCAGGACAAGGCTTTCCTCCTAGTAAGATGATTGCACTGCATGTCACGTATAAAAATTAATAATAGTTGTACTCTACGCTGTACCTTTTCAGGTATTATAACGAAGCTGCAAACACAACTACTACACGTAATCACCCATGTACGTGCCCCTTCCACCATCCGAACGTATGAGCCCTACTGGCTCAAATTTCGCTCCTTCTGCATGAAGGTGAAGTTGAGCTACTTGCCTGCAACGGATATGACCTTGGCACTCTACCTCATTCATGCACTAAATCACCAGGCCACCACATCTGCCATATCGCTTACATGCTCCGCCGTCGCCTTCGCGCATCTCATGACTGACCATGGCCCGCCCCTTTTTGGAGTCCACCCGGCCGGCCGAATACCAGAAAGGACTCATCCCCATCCTTATGTTTGCCGCCTTCCTACGCTACTCCGACCTTGTCAGTCTCCAATGGCATGACATACAGTTTGAGTCGGAGGCGATGTGGCTGCTCATCCCGCACTTCAAGACCGACCAGGAATGCAGGGGTACGTGGATTCCGGTTGCCGCCACTTCTGGCCCATACTGCCCGGTACGCTGCACACGACACTTTCTTCTCCTCGCGGGTCACACCTCCACCCCACACAGGCCATTGATCCGAGTCTTCGGGAACAGCAGTACGGCAACTCCACAGGACCACGCACCTTCGTACACCACCATCCGGAACTGGTGCCTTGAAGCATTCACCAGGGCCGGCCTCGATAGCGCCCACCTCGGCACCCACTCCTTTCGCAAGGGCGCTGCTACAGCGGCAGCCAGCCTGGGGATATCCGACCGGCTGTTCAAGCGACTTGGCTGTTGGCGCAGCGATAATGCCAAGGAGCTCTACGTTACCATCGCTCATGACCAACTCCTTCAAGCCTCCATGCAACTCCGAGACGCAGCCACCGCTCTCACGCCCAATCAGCACCAGCTATCTATTGAACGCCACCGCCAACCCCTTCTGCACATGTCTCAGAAGACCCAGATGAAATGAAGCACGCTGCCTTTACAAGAGGACCTAAGCAAACTTTCACAATATGTAATTTTTTGAAAGTGTGTAACACTTTCTGAAAATGTGTATTGTGAGAGTGTAGCGAGGGCCAACGCAGCAAAGGCAGCGACGAAGCGCTACTCACCCTCTTTTGCCTACAAAAGAGGGGCGTGAGGCCATTCGGCCTCACCCACGTTCTTCATTTCTAGTTTCTCTAGTTCAATTTCCCCGCCCACCCACCCTCTTGTGTGTAGTTCTTTGTTGGACGAGAACCATGTATGTTTCCCAGATGAAATGAAGCATGCTGCCTTTACAAGAGGACCTAAGCAAACTTTCACAATTCAGGAATTTGTCAAAAGTATGGGTTCTCACGAGGGCAACCCTGAGCAATCCGCCTCCCTAGAACCAATCTGAGGCCCTGCCCGTAAACCTGTATGCTGGCATTGTGTACAACTGCTCTCGGGCACCTTGGCATAACACCCAGGTCGAGATTGTACATACCAAACCTTAGACGAAGGGTACACACCACCTCCAAGAATGACATGGCCACTCCCTCCGCATGACAAACACACATTATGCGCGGCAAACTGGGGGTGGCATGTCCACGCTGTCACCAGGTGCTGTCCAGCTACAGCGCGAAAATGAAGCCCACATTCCACGCTGTCGTAGCGTCGTCCCATTAGCCACCGACCTAAATGTCGGTGGCGCTGCATTGGAGTAGAGCTATGAAAGCGCGATTTCCAGATCTTATCGAAACCGTCCGATTCGTACGTTTTCGATAAGAATAATAAATTCGAATAGTGCCTTTGTTAAAATGTCTATATATAAATATACATACATAATGAATATAGCTCTAAAAGCATCAAGCATTCAAAGGCATGTGGAAAAACCCAGAGAGTGCAAACTACTCTAAGCAATGGGTATGGGCATTAACCATAATAGAAATTCCATAATAGTAATTCACTAAGTGCATCCAATATGCGCCCTTAAACAAATTCCGGCGCTCTACACACAAGGTAGAAATGTCGAAGTGAGAGACAACAAGTGAATGGTGAAGTGTAAAAGTTACATGCCGGCATGGGCATACCTTCGTACGCGCTACTCAATGGGCCATTTCGTGAGGCCTGCATGGTTAGACGTTTAGAGAAATGCTAGGTCGAGCAAAAGCAGTCAAATGAACGCGTCCATACCTGCCAATCAATGGCACTCTCGCATTTTAGCGATTTTATTGTTGTAGCGTGCACCATAGCCGCGGAAGATGCGAACACCAACCAATCAAGATGCGACTATTGTGGCAATGCCTGCATGAATGTGCAGTTTGCATAATGAAAACAATCGCCATGCAGATCAGTTAACACAAATAGGGGGAGGGGAAGTAGATAAACTAAGCAAGACGGAAAAATCGCAGCGAGAAGCGAAAGCTGCGTCAGACATGATCACGAGCAAAAAGCGTGAGAGCGCGAAAGTGCGAATAACATAATATGAAAGGCAAGGCGATGGCGTGAGCTCCGCATAAGTGTGGGAGATTTGACAAGTGCGCAGAACTATGAAACGAAAAAGTGGGTGAAACAAAAACAAGGGAGCAAAACCCTTCCAAAATGCAAAAAGTTGTAGAAATGGGAGGATGCTTGAGCTGGGTGAGAGAGTAGACGGGAGACGGCGTGGCTGGAGGAAGGGAAGCAGAGGGAGAGAAATGGTTGGCAATGGCATCACCCTAGGGATGCGATGGCGTGAGGATGTGGCCGAATGACATTGGCCCTCCAAATTCGTCTGTATCTGAGATTTCGATGACATGTCATGTATGTTCCTTGGTGACAGCTATCCTCCTCGCTATTTCAGAATGGTCTATCGTGAACATTTCGTACAGGTAAGCATGT